AGTGAGCTGCACCACTGGCTTGGGTGGCAGGGGGTCTGTGGGCTGCAAAGCGCTGGGGACTGCCCTACTGACTCGCCTGGCTGTGCCCCAGCATTTCTGCTTCCAGCCAGGCATTGCCGTTTCCCTGAAACTGTCTCTTCATGTTGTGCTGCTGCAGTTACTGTTGCTAATGCTGCAGTGTGCTTGTGGAGCCTCTGGGGACACTCTTTGGCCATGTGCATCCCACTGTCACAGATGTAACACTTCTGTTCCCTCTAGGAGGCTGTCTTCTTGACTGCTCCGGACGCTGGGGCTCCGGCAGCTGACTGAGCCTTTGCGCTCCCCAGTTCCATTGGCTCCTCCCTTGCCTGCAGCTGAGGTGAGGGACGCGTACGTCCTGGATCTCTGGGAAGGAAAGGAGGCACTCTAGACGGTGCGTGCAGCTGGCTACCCCCTCATTGCGCCAAGGGCGTTCTTCGTGCGTACTCCAATGGCGGAGCGCCCGCTGCACCACTTCTGCCAGGGTTTTAGGTCTGTCCCCCCTTGCCAGTTCATCTTCACAGGGCCAGAGAGCCCCTGCCAAAACAATTCTCTGACTGCCATAGAGTCTTTCTCCCATTGCAGCACATTGCAGCAAAGCGAAAAAGCGAGCAATGGTACTGACGTACTGTAGCCTTGCCTTGCCTTAAACCATGGCATCTCTTGGCGTGCAACATCCACATCCACGGTAGATTGGAAACACGTGTCCATGCATTTGATAAATTCATCGGAGTCCCTTCGAGCAGGGCAATCCTCGCGCCACAGATTGCGCAGGCCAAGCCCTCGCTTCCCCATGCAAGTGGGACACAATGAAACCCACTTTCTCCTCCTCATCTTTAAAGTCGTCGCGAAGCAAATGCAACGCATATTCTACGTCTGCTCGAAAACTGGGGTACTGCTTCAGGTTCCCATCGAAGTGGGCTACCAAGTTGCCTCCCCTTTTGCCCAGGGCTACTCCAGCAGATTTGGTTCCCGGGAACCCCACTTGGCATGCATGATCCCACCTGGCTTGCAGATCTTGGCACCGCTTCTCCGCCTCTTCCCCCTTCTTCTGGGAGACCACTACCGCAGTGGTAAGCTGGGAGACTGTGTTGTGTAGATCAGCTATCTGCTCCTCCATACTCATGGCTGCCAAACTTTCGTGAGCTTTGCAAAAAAAATTTTGCGTACTTTTGAGAGGGGACTTACTGTCAGGGGCTGCCTCAGGTCTCAGCTCACAAAAGACCAACGCCAAGATCTTCTTATATACAAGGATGTTTATTGCAGTTCATTAATGGTTCCACAACCGAGGCGCGCAGCCCCGCGTCTGTTAACCTTAGACATTTGAAGTCCCCTCTGAATCGGTCCCGCCCCTACACCAGTTTAAGAGGCTTGTGCTGGTCCACCTCTTTCTGTCTTTCCTTTTCCGCAGGGTCTTTCTGCCCCCCTGGGTTCCTTCCCTCCTGCTTTCCCCTGAAGCGGATTCCTCAGATGCCTGCTCCCCCCTCCTTCGTGCTTTGGGACCAGGCTCCTCCTCCGGGCTCTCTGCATTTCCGCGCGCCTCCACATTTGAACTTGGCGCGCGTTCGCTACCCCTGACCTTCCTCTTGACACTCACACTACTCCCTGTACTACTCTTCGCCCCTTCCGGCAGGACGTCCTGCCCCGATCTCATTTCCCCTGTCTCCTTCCTGCTCTGCTCCGTGTGTCCCACTGGGAACTCCCCCCTCTTCACTCCGTTCCTGCTGGGAAGCCGGCCCCGATCTCCCACTCCCACTCGGGGTTTCCCTGCTGCTTCCCTGATCCTGGCAAGTCCCCCCTGTGACCCCCCTTGGCCTGACCAGGGGCGCCCCCTTCTGGGAATCCTCCGATTCACTTGAGAGACTCATGGAAGACCTCAAGTCATTGTCATCCTCTTCCTCACTCTCCTGAGATTCTTCCCCATCGCTCTCCGTCTCCCCCCTCACCTGTGCCTCTGTCCCTGAACCCCTGACAGCATGCATATCTGTGGTACGACAAGGCAAAGGTTCACAAAATGTTCAAAATCATATTGTCAGGAAATCAGTATTTATGGTCTGGACAAAATACAAGGACTTACTAGAAGGCAAGACCCCGAGGTGGCTATCACCAGCAGAGGCTAAGGCCTGGAAAAAACCCAGTATGGAGGTTGGCTGGCCGAAATATGGGGAAATTATAGAAAAAGTTGGAGAAACTTGGAGGCTGCAGAGTTATGAAAAATTAAAGAATAAGGTGCAAAATTGGTTTCATTATGCTCAAATTCAAGAGGTTTTTAAGTTGGACAAAAAAATAGGTTTCCAGGTGGAAAAATCGAAACTAGAGACAGAACTGTTAGAACCAAAGACCAAGGTACTTTCGAGAATGTATAACTTGTTGCTTAAATGGAACACTCAGGATGAGACTGTCAAATCGGCAATGATAAAGTGGGCTCAGGACATTGGGTACAACATTATGTTTGAAGACTGGGAAAGGTTATGGACCACTGGTATGAAATTCACGGCATGTAATGCCCTGAAAGAGAATATTATGAAAATGATATACAGGTGGTACATGACCCCAGTCAAGCTTGCTAAGATATATCATTTATCTGATAATAAATGTTGGAAATGTAAGGAGGCTGAAGGGACATTCTTTCACCTCTGGTGGACTTGCCCAAAAGTGAAGGTCTTCTGGGAAACAACCCGGACACTGAGGTCCAGCTCCGAGGGCCTTCTTGTAGCAAGGATTTTAAAGGTACCAGTGACCCACTCAAATTGTGTCCCAGAATTGACAGACGCAGCAGTGGAGAAAAAGAAAGTGATATTTATTGCTGAGCAATAATTGACCCTGTGGAATCCTTTCCAGAGACTGGGCCCCCCAGCTCTAGCGCCCTGAGGCTTTATATATACATATACATCGATGACATAATCGAATACAATCGCACACGGCTGCAAAAATAAAACCAATGAGCGCATTCAAGCCTTGCCCCCTGATCATGTAAAGAGTTCCCTCCCAACTTCTGCTTTCTTCAGTCTGAACATTAGTCCGACCTTTCCCCTAATAAAAAGGAGAAAGGAACTGTATTCAGCCCTTACGCTCTCCTACGCAACATCTGCCAAACAGGGACATTTTGCGGTTAGCATCTTCCTGTTTTCAGCTGCTCAGGACCCTGTCTGGACAGGAGGAAAATGCCAGCACAGCAGATTTATTGCTTCCCCCCTTATGTTAGCCAGACATTGAAAAGAACAAGGGGAGAGAACTGGGACAGAGTTCATTTTGGATTTTTCAAATCTAAGCATTTTGCCCTAAGCTTTGCAGAAGCCTTCATGATTCAAACATGGATAAAAAGCATTATAAGGATATATGGTTATATATGGCTAACTGATTATATGGAAAGCATAAGGGTATAATTCCTCCAGGTGGCCCTGCTTCATTCTGGCAGGTCCCTCATTGCGAGAAGTGAGGTTACAGGGGGCCTTCTGGGTTGTCGTGACTGCCCTGTGGAACGCCCTCCCACCAGATGTCAAGGAGATAAACCATTATATGACCTCCATTGATGCCTGAAAGCAGCTCCGTATCGGGAAGCTTTTAATGATTTATGTTGGTTATCTTTTCTTTATTCTTTTGGAAGCGCCCAGAGTGGCTGGAGCAATCCAGTCTGATGGGTGGGGTACAAAAAACATGTTGTTGTTGTTGGACACCCAGCTTTTGACAGCTAGCTAGGCAAGGGATTAAGGGCTGCTTTGTTCTGTGCTTTTGGACTCCTATGTGGGCTTATGGTTCTGGTGCTTGTGGATCTCATGGGATTTAATGTCATGCCATTATAAATGCACGGGGATAAGTGCATTTACACAGACACATTTCCGCAAACGACCCAAACTCCGGCATGTAGCCGCAGGTGATACAATTGGAGCCCTTCTGCAAATGGCCTTTGCAACACAACTCACTGGGTGGTTACAAAGTAGACCACATTTGCCTCTTTGCAACGTAGCCCCGTTTCCTCAATGAATCCACCCATTTCAGTAAAACCTGAGCTGAAATAGTAAGGAGAGCAAACAGCAAGCCCTGTCCTGACCCCCGTCAGCCCCCAGACTCCCCCAGTCACGTGGCAGGAGATTCATCCTGAGCCCCCCCCCCTCCGTGAGATGGGTATGACATCATGGATGACCATATAATCCATTGATGATCCACATGATCGCAAGCAGACTGGGCGAAAAGAGACAGATCTCTAGGCCTGAATGAAAACGGGTCTGCGATGATGGATTCTGGAGTCAAGAAATCCACCCTTTTCCAGTGATTCTCTCAGGCTGGCCAGGAAAAAGGCAGGGAGCAGGAATCGCCAGCATCCGATGGACAGACAGACTTGTGCATGTTGCCAAAACACGAACTCGGACTCTGATCTGATTTCCATGTACAACTCACTTTGTGGCGCAACCGGGGATGTTTTTGGGGTGCTCTCTCTGTGACGGGGGGCTACTATCTGAGGGTGCACAAATTGCAACGCGCTTTAGTTCTGGGCTGCTTCACTCCTTCCATGGGGGGGGGGGCTCTGCGCGCAAACAGATCAACAGCTGCCTTGCTTTCTTCCTGGCCTCATTGTGTTACCTCTGACGGAGACACAAGGGAGGAATTGTGTCGGCTCTCTCTCTCTCTCTCTCTCTCTCTCTCTCTCTCTGTGTGTGTGTGTGTGTGCAGAAGCCCAAGCCCCATTTTCCCCGTAACACAGGAGTCCCAGACCCCAACCCGCTGCTCAATGTGCACCAATACCTAAAACATGGAATGGATCTAAGATCATGGCGTGTGGGGCGGGGGGGGGAGGATTTTCAATGTAAACATTGTAGGGGGGGCACTTTGCAGCTGGATTGCCAGGATCAGCCCCTCCCCCGCTCTCCTGATCCCCTGAACGAAGAAGGGAGGGGGAAAACCTTTGTCTCCCCCCCTCTATCCCTCCCTTCCCGGTACATCCTCCTCTCACCCCGCCCCCACAACCCTCAACCCCCCCCCCCCGTATGTCGCACCTCTTCCTTCTGCTCCTCCTCCAATCCGGCTTCTGTTTCCGGAATGAGCGGAGAGAGCCCCCCTCCCGAACTGCCTGCTTCTCCCGGACGTGGAGCTTCTGCGCCGGATTGCTGCTCTGCCCCGTAGCTCGGGGGGGGGCGCTTCGGAAAGGAAAGGCGGGGCGGCAGGGAGGGAACCCCCGCCCGGTGGATGTTGCAGGAAAGGAGAATCGGGAGCGAGGACAAAGAGGTAAAGGGGTCGCGGGGGGCGGAGGGGGAGAAAAGGACCCAGAGACCCCCGCCAGCTCCCCAAAGCGCCTTCCGTGGGGCCTGGATCCCGGCACGCGTGCTGCGAAGGGGGCTTTCCTTGGACCCTTAGGAAGCCCACCCAGGGGATCCCAATGAAGCGCTGTCGCCCCATTCCCCCCGCTCAGGCATCCCTGGGGCGCTGTGGGTTCCCCGCGGAGAGAGGTGGGCCATGAAAGGGTTAACGGACGTGAGGGACGCCTGGATAGAGACCCCCCTGTCCCTCCCCTGCTCGTCTTGGGGTGGCCCCTCCGGACGGATTTTCAATGCAAACATTATGGGGGGACCCCACTTTGCAGCTGGATTGCCAGGATCAGCCCCTCCCCCGCTCTCCTGATCCCCTGAACGAAGAAGGGAGGGGGGAAACCTTCGTCTCCCCCCCCTCTATCCCTCCCTTCCCGGTACATCCTCCTCTCACCCCGCCCCCACAACCCTCAACCCTCCCCCCGTATGTCGCACCTCTTCCTTCTGCTCCTCCTCCAATCCGGCTTCTGTTTCCGGAATGAGCGGAGAGAGCCCCCTCCCGACCTGCCTGCTTCTCCCGCAAGTGGAGCTTCTGCGCCGGATTGCTGCTCTGCGCCGTAGCTCGGGGAGCGCGCTTTGGAAAGGAAAGGTGGGGCGGCAGGGGAGGGAACCCCCGCCCGGTGGATGTTGCAGGACAGGAGAATCGGGAGCGAGGACAAAGAGGTAAAGGGGTCGCGGGGGGCGGAGAGGGAGGGGGTAAGGACCCAGAGACCCCCGCCAGCTCCCACAAGCGCCTTCTGTGGGCCCCGTGGCAGGGCCTGGATCCCTGCACGTGTGCTGCGAAGGGGGCTTTCCTTCGCCCTTAGGCGCCTTGGCAGGGGCGGACATGGGACGCCTACGCAGGGGGTCCCCACGAGGGCCCCCTTGCCCCGTTTCCCCCGCGAAGGCATCCCTGGGGCCCTGTGGGTTTCGCACGGATAAAGGAGGGTTAACGGGCGTGAGGGACGCCTAGATAGAGACCCCCTGTCCCTCCTCTGCTAGTCTTGGGGTGGCCCCCCAGGATGGAAAGATGGGGGATGAGGGCTGAGCCGCGCCAAGGGAGGCCTCTGGGTGCAGGGGAGACTCTGGGACAGAGGGAGGGAGTCGAGGAAGTGGGGAGGGGGAGCATCCCTGGGGCAGGAAAGGGCAGCAATGGGGGGGGAGAGAGATAGGAAATCAGTCTTTGGGGAGACTTCTCCATGGTGGCGCCTGCTGGGTTTCTCTGGAGGGGCCGTCTTGACTTCTCCTTACCATCCAGGAATCGGCCACCCCTTCAAGGTGACCAGAGACAGATCCCTGGAAAGTGGGGGGTCCAGTCCCCCCTTCCTTCCTGCAACCTCCATCCTCTTCCCACCCCATAAGCCCCTGCCCTGCCCAGACACAATGGTTCTGCCAAGTCCAACCATTGGTCCCCCTGGAGAGGAGAGGGAAGAGGAAGAGGGGAGGGGAGAGGCCTTCTCAGAAGCAGCTCTTGGTTTCCGCAATCCCACCCAGGAAGCAGCCAGAAACCTTTTCCTCTCTCTTGGGCTTCCATCTTTAAGTTTCTCTTCCACTGCCTGGTTCCAGTACAAAGAAAAGACAGTAAAACATCAGACATTAAAAACCTCCCGGTAGAGGGTTGCCTTCAGCTGTCTTCTAAATGTCAGAATATTGCCCACTTCCTCGCCCTCTGCCTGCTTCCCTGTAACTTCGCTTCTCCCAGGGGGGAATCAGCAGAAGACCTTCCAAGGAGGACCTCCCTGTCCAGACTGAGCGATGTCGGTGGGGATGCTCCTTCAGGTCTACAGGGCTGAGGCTGTTGAGGGCTTTAGGTTGCAGATCTTGCTGCTCCATAACAATCTCATTCAGCAAATAAATTTATTACTGAAGGCAAAGAAGCATAACAGGATCCAAAAAATAGTAAAAATTTAACTTATGTAAAACCCTAACTTAGCATACCAAAACAGCACTCAAGTAAGAATCACACATGCGGAGTAGAGAAATAGCAGACTAGGAAGTGGGATCAGATGCCTTTCGGCCTTGTAATTTATATTCTATTAAATGTCAGAGTAACCTTGGGACTGGATAGCAAGCCTGGCTCACTCCAGTTTAAACCAGCTTCATCTGGTTCCCCAAAACAAGAAAGGTTCTTCATAACCTCATCGCAACTGATCCCACCACCAGCTCTCAGCAGAAAGGAAACTGCCGAGTTTCAGGAAGCCTGCATTAGATCAATGCTTTTCTTTGCCTGGAAAATGCAGCCATGCCACTTAAAGGTCAGCACCAACAGTTTGACATGTGCTTGAAAATCTGCTGGGAGCCAAGTAAGATCCTTTAGGAGCAGTGATATGTGGTCTTGGCAGCTGCTCCCATTCAGTTGCAGTTTTGGGTCACCTTCAAAGGTAGTCCCATGTAGGCCACATAGCAGTAGTCCAAGCCGGAAATAACCAGAGCATGCACCACTCTGGCAAGAAAGTGTGCGGGGAAGGAGGGTCTCAGCCTGCGTTCCAGATGGAGCTGCTAGACAGCTGCCCTGGACACAGAATTGAGCTGCGCCTCCATGGTCAGCTGTGAGTCCAAAATGACCCCTAGGCTGCGCACCTGGTCCTTTAGGGCCACAGTTACCCCATTCAGAACCAGGCCCCCCCCACACCTGCCCACCTCCTGTTCCCCAGAGACAGTACTTCTGTCTTGTCAGGATTCAACCTCAATCTGTTAGCTGCCACCCATCCTCAAACCACCTCCAGGCACCAACACACGGCATTCACCACCTTCACTGGCTCCGATTTAAACGAGAAGAAGAGCTGGGGATCACCCACATACTGGTGATCACCCAGCCCCAAAACCCTGATGATCTCTCCCACCAGCTTCATATAGATATTAAAAAGCATGGGGGAGAGGACGGAGCCCTGAGGAACCCCACAAGTGAGAGCCCAGGGGTCAGAACAGTCATCCCCCAACACCACTTTCTGGACATGGCCCAGGAGGAAGGAGGGGAACCACTGCATAGCAGGGTCCCCAGCTCCCCTAGAGGGTTCAGTAGGATACCATGGCCAAAGGTCTCCAAAGCCACTGAGAGATCTAGCAGAACCAGGAAACAGCTTTCCCTTCAGACTCTAGCGCATTGGAGATCATCAACCAGAGCAACGAGGGCAGTTTCTGTCACATGATGAGGCCTGAATCCCAGTTGGAAGGATCATGGTGGCAGAAGCTTTCCTGGTCCTGCACCCCCAAAAGCTCCAGGCACAAGTCTTTCATTAGCTTTGAAGGGGCCATCCGATACTTGGTGGTCTTTTCTTCAAAAGACAGATATTTTGAATACTTTTACAGTGACATATGATGTAAATAGCACATCCACATTGGAGAGATTTTGATACGCACGTCTGAGCTCATCTCTCCGCCTGAAACTGCTGTGTTAGCAGCACTGCCTGGGCAGTGTGTTTGGGGGTCCTGGGCTGCCTAGACAACAAGACCCCTTTCTCAGCCTGGCTAATATGGTCCCAAGGAAAGCAGAGCAGTACGTTTGGCACCAGCTTGGCTGCTGGAGTGGCTGGAAGGAGGTGTGCAGGACACCATGCAACTATCTTAGAGACTCCACTCTGGATTTGTATAGCCTTTTCTTTTCCTGAAGATAACTCACCAGGCAGTGAAGGTTTAGTTTTCCTTCTCGAGGACCTCCCTTCCCAGATTGACGAGCCCCATCTGCCCTTCACTTTCCTCAGCAGGATGGGCAGAATCTGCCTTCTTGACTGTGGGATTCACTGTTGTTCTCATCCTCTCCATCCACCAGGGCCTGCCTACACCTGCAGCAGAATTCCCCAACCCACCAAGGATTTGAGACCATCTATTCTCACCTGGTTTAGCCGGCCGGTTGAAGCCGTTCCTGGGCTTGTGACCCCTATTCTATCCTGACAGCTTCTGGAAGCCACAGGTGGGAACTGAGTGTAGGGTGGGGACCATTGATGGATAAATTACCCCATAACGTGCATGACATGACCCCCACCAAAGGAACTAATGCTCTCCTAACACCCCAAGACACCATATAATTATGATATTTGAGACAGAACCGGAATAAATTCGTCTCTAGAAAAAACACAACTTCAGGCAATAAATAAATTAATACTACTTATTCAAGGTACTACATATTCCACTAAGTACAGTTTATCTATTTGCCTTGAATATCTGCTTTTCAGTGTCATTTTAGGATAGTCCTGCGTCAGAAGATGGGCATGAGATCAGACAGCACATCATTCTTTTAAAAATCATGCTGCTTTATTAACATTGATTGAGGATTATGAAAGCTGCTCATGAATTACTATCATTTGTTAACATTACAACTTCATTTCCAAAAAATTGGGAACATGGGGAGGAGGTGGGGGAATATAGGAGATGTTGATATAGGAGAAGGTGCTAATGGAGCTTGATTTATTTTCTTTCCCTTAGTTCTCTTCCTTGAAACCCAAACAGGATTCTCTTTCCTCCCAATCTGAAGAAGGAGATGGAGAAGACAGTCAGAACTCCAGGGAATGGGGCACCTTTAGTTTCATTAGGAATAGAAATTAAAATGTGTGACATGCAGAATATTCTTCATTGAATGAGCACACATAGTTCACATCAACAACCTCCAACAGGGGAGAAACCATTTAAAGGTATGGAGTGTGGGAAAAGATTCACTGATAGTCGAAAACTTAGAACACATCAGCGGAGTCACATGGGCAAGAATGGATTCCAATGCAGGGAGTGTGGGAAGAACTTTAGTCAAGAGTGGACTCCTCAATATACACCAGCGGACTCACACAGGGGAGAAACCATATAAATGCATGGAATGTGGAAAGAGCTTCAGTCGGAGTGATGCACTTAGCACTCATCAACGGACTCACACAGGGGAGAAACCACATAAATGTATGGAGTGTGGAAAGAGCTTCAGTCAGAGTGGACACTTAAGTTTACATCAGCAGACTCACACAGGGGAGAAACCATTTAAATGTTTGGAGTGTGGAAAGAGCTTTAGTGATAATGGATACCTTAAATTACACCAGCGGATTCACACAGGGGAGGAACCATATAAATGTATGGAGTGCGGAAAGAGCTTCAGTTTCAATGCAGCCTTTAGAACACATCAAAGGACTCACACAGGGGAGAAACCATATAAATGTATGGAGTGTGGAAAGAGCTTCAGTCAGAGTGGACACCTCAATATACATCAACGGACACACACAGGAGAGAAACTATTTAAATGCATGGAGTGCAGAAAGAGCTTTAGTGATAATGGAAGCCTTAGAACACATCAACGGACTCACACAGGGGAGAAACCATTTAAATGTATGGAGTGCGGAAAGAGCTTTAGTAAAAGTGGAAACCTTAGACAACATCAACGGACTCACACAGGGGAGAAACCACATAAATGTATGGAGTGTGGAAAGAGCTTCAGTCAGAGTGGACACCTCAATATACATCAACGGACTCACACCGGGGAGAAACCATTTAAATGTATGGAGTGTGGAAAGAGCTTTGGTGATAATGGAAGCCTTAGAAAACATCAACGGACTCACACAGGGGAGAAACCATATAAATGTTTGGAGTGTGGAAAGAGCTTCAGTCAGAATGAAAGCCTTAGGAGACATCAACGGACTCACACAGGAGAGAAACCATTTAAATGTTTGGAGTGTGGAAAGAGCTTCAGTCAGAATGGAGACCTTAAATTACATGAGAGGATTCACACAGGGCACAAACCTTATGAATGTATGGAGTGTGGAAAGAGCTTCACTTTCAATGGAAACCTTAGAATACATCAACGGACTCACACAGGGGAGAAACCATATAAATGCATGGAGTGCGGAAAGAGCTTCCGTTTTAATGAAAACCTTAGAAGACATCAACGGACTCACACAGGGGCGAAACCATATGAATGTATGGAGTGTGGAAAGAGCTTTGGTGATAATGGAAGCCTTAGAACACATCAACGGACTCACACAGGAGAGAAACCATTTAAATGTATGGAGTGTGGAAAGAGCTTTGGTGATAATGGAAGCCTTAGAACACATCAACGGACTCACACAAGGGAGAAACCATATAAATGCATGGAGTGCGGAAAGAGCTTCCGTTTTAATGGAAACCTTAGAACACATCAACGGACTCACACAGGGGAGAAACCATTTAAATGCATGGAGTGCGGAAAGAGCTTCAGTCAGAATGGAAATCTTAGAAACCATCAGCAGACACACAAGGGAGAAACTGTTTAAATGTATGGACTAAGAAGGAGCTTCAGTCAGAGTGGAACCCTTGATTTATATCAACAAACTCATACAAAACACAAACCTTATAAATATCAGGAAAGTAGATAAAGGTTCAGTCCTAATGCAAGTTCTAAATCAACAGACTCACGGACAGGAAGAAGTTTAGTACTTGAAACCCTTCAAACTATCAACAACCTCAAAGAGGAGAAGCAGTTTAAATGAAAAGATTGCAAAACATGCTTTATTTACAAAGGAGTGTTTAAGGAACATCAGGGACTCTCACATGGACAAACCCATTTAGATGTTTGGAGTGTGGGACGTCTTCCTCTCAGAGTCCACTCTTTTCTTCACAGCAATGAACTCAGCAGGACATCACTCATTAACACATGTTGTGTTTGTGAAGTTCTGGTATTTATGCGTAAAAGTCTATAGTAATGAAATATTGAAGGCATTGTCAAACAACGTGATTATGATCGAATGTTTAAAGTACCTTTCGACAGAGAAAGGGTGAGGGTTTATCTGGATTGCTGGTGGTCAGGGAGGATTAGGGCTGGGCGATGTATTGTCCAAACTGGTTTCTAGACCACATCATGATGACCTTCCAAAAACAATGGATATGGCAACACACCACAGATCCCAGTGTGTGTTTCTGGGATGCTCATTTGCCTGGAAGCAGCCGGCAGAAAGCTTTTCTTCGTGAAGCCCCTGCAGATGCTGAGTTGCTGACTTCCCTCCCAGATGACAGGAAGCGAAAGACACACCTCCATTGCCCTGTGTACTTCCAGCCTCTTTCCTCCCTTGCTCCCTTCTGCCGGTTTGTGTGCCTGACTTAGATATCCTGTGTGCTGTATTTTTTTTACTGCTGAAACTGCGTTTGCTCTCAGGAGCTAAGTTTTGTGCCTCACTGGGGACCCAGTGAGAACTGTATGCTTTGAAAGCTCAGTAAACTATTACTGAAGAAGTCCTGCTGCCTCTGTGTGTGTTTTGGACCTCAGTGTGGGACTTGCTCTGCACGTGGCCCCTACCCTGCCGATACTTGGCTCATGCCTTGGAGTTGCTGTACTTAAGCATGCAAGACGGGTGCATCTGTGTGTGACTGGTTTTTGCACCAAACTCTCTCACCACCCCACTGCGTGATCTCCAAACACTGCTTCTTCACCAGAACTTCTTCCTGCCTCCTACATGTTCTGAAGAAAACTTAAAATACTGTAATTTAATGGGAGATTTCCCCCCAAGCCTTATTGCAGGAGGGGGAAGGAGGGGCTGCAGGTACCAGGGAAGTCTCCTGGGGGGCCCATCTTCCCTCACGAACCCCATAGGGCAACCTCAAAGCTCCTGCTTATTCTGGGGTTTGGGGAAGATAGTATTTTTCCATAGTCCCAGAAGTTATCATTCTTCCTGCCAGAGGACCAGTGTGCATATTATTATCGTACTGAATTTACTGTTGTTGCTGCTTTTGCTGTCATGGACTGGCTGGGTGAAGGGGGGGAGGCACCAGCTGGGGGACCCCCAAGGGAAGAAGGCTCGGAGTCCGGGTGTTGTATGCCCCCAAAGGCTATCAAGTCTCCTAGGTCTGACCAATAAAAGGTGAATTTGGTGTTACGGGGGGGGGACCCAGGTGTGAGGCTGCTCAGCCACCCAGCTCATCAGGTAGAGCCCGTGGGTCCCTGCGGAATAAAGGAAGGAGTCCAGCCACCAACCAGAGCAAATAGCTGTAGACCCCCAAGGGAAGAAGGCTCGGTGTCCAGGTCTTGTATGCCCCCTAAGGCTATCAAAACTCCTAGGTCTGGCCAATTAAAGGCTGATATGGGAGCCGTTGGGGGCCAGATCAGTTATTTCTTTTTCGCCTCTCCTCTGGAAAAGTGCTCTTTCTTCTGGGGTTTGATTACTTTTGCCTCCTTCAGTGCCCACTGCATCCTCAGCGCGGTGCAATACTGTCCTTTCAACTTATGTAGGGCTCTCTCTCAGGACCGCTACCCAGGAGTCTGCCTATGCAAACTGCTCCGAACATCCAGGGTTTTTGGTCACGCTTCAAAAGACCTGGTTGGTTTGCTCCAGGTCCCACGAGCCGGGGGGGTGGGGCAGCAGGGAGTTCTTAGTCGTTTGAGGTTCATTGCTCCGCCATATTTGTGCTTGAATTTGCCAAAATTATTCACCATGCCTTGTAATGGAGTCCATTCCTCCTGTGAGTGTGACACCCCCCATTATGCCCTCCTGCTTAAGTTGTTACACAAGGGGGACTCCCTGCCTTCTGACATGTTGCAGATAAAATAAAAGGTGTGGGGGGGAGCCTTTTGAAAAGAGACTGGTGGCCAGCAAGGCCCACAGTGAGAAAGCCTATAGAAAGAAAAGACTCATAAATAAATGCCCCCCTCGGCTGCACAGCCCGCCAGTCCTGGGCAGAGAACTCGCAGTTGTGCCAAGGGGGGAGAGAGCCTGATCTCTTCAGCCCCAGCCCTCAGCCAGACAGGAGCCTTCAAGAAAAACACAGTGTGAGGAAACCCCCCCCACCCTCTTGGCCGAGCTTGAGACAATACATAGACATTCACAGAGCTGGAAGCCTGCTGTTGCCTGGATGAGGCACCCACAGCTGGCAGTCCACTGCTGCCGGGGAGGGGGGCGGGTCCACAAACACACACACACACACAGAGAGAGAGAGAGAGAGAGAGAGAGAGAGAGAGAGAGAGCTGGCCCCCCAGCCCAGCTCCCCTGGCTGAGCTGGAGACAAAAGCGTCAATACAAAACACACAAAAAAGAAAGCTCTCCCCCCCCCCCAAATGTGCAATTTAACTGTGAGCAAAACACACAGAGCAGCCCCCCTTGACTGTGACACACAGAGAGCTGGGGGGCACTGCTCCCTCAGTTGAGGCACCCACAGCTGGGTGGGTTCAAAGAAAGCCTCAATTTATCTGAGTCACAGCACCAAATGTATACACTGGTACCTCGGGTTACATACGCTTCAGGTTACAGACTCCGCTAACCCAGAAATAGTACCTCAGGTTAATAACGTTGCTTCAGCATGAGAACAGAAATCATGCTCTGCCGGCGCGGCGGCAGCAGGAGGCTCCATTAGCTAAAGTGGTGCTTCAGGTTAAGAACAGTTTCAGGTTAAGAACGGACCTCCAGAATGAATTAAGTTCTTAACCCGAGGTACCACTGTACCTCCAAAGGCTATAAAAACTCCTATTAAAGGTAAAGGCACCCCTGACCATTAGGTCCAGTCGTGGCCGACTCTGGTGTTGCGGCGCTCATCTCGCTTTACTGGCTGAGGGAGCCGGTGTACAGCTTCCGGGTCATGTGGCCAGCATGACAAAGCCGCTTCTGGCAAACCAGAGCAGAGCACGGGAACGCCGTTTACCTTCCCGCTGGAGTGGTACCTATTTATCTACTTGCACTTTGACGTGCTTTCGAACTGCTAGGTTGGCAGGAGCAGGGACCGAGCAACGGGAGCGATGGGAGCTCACCCCGTCATCGTGGGGCTTTGAACAGCTCACTGAAGAACCCCGACCAAACCTAAGAGGAGGTGTGTAGTGGTGACAGGGGATTCCCTACTGAGGGGAACAGAAGCAGTGATCTGTGGGCCTGACAAGATTTCTCGGGAGGTGTGCTGTCTCACCGGGGCTAAGATCCAAGATGTAACTGAATGACTGCAAGGAATCATAAAACCCACTGACAAATACCCCTTCCTCTTGGTTCATGTGGGAACCAATGACACTGCAAGCAATAGCCTCCAGAAGATCAAAAGAGACTACGAGGCTCTGGGCAGGAAATTGAAGCAATTAAATGCACAAATTGTCATCTCATCTGTCCTCCCAGTTGAACGACGTGGCCCAGGGAGAGAGGGGGAAATAGTGGAAGTGAACAGCTGGCTTCGCAAATGGTGTAAACAGGAACGGTTTGGATTCTTAGATCACGGACTGCAGTTTCTTGAAAATGGACTTCTGGCAAGCGATGGGCTGCACCTCACAACGGTTGGGAGAAATGTTTTTGCCAAAAATCTCAGAAACTTCATCAGGAGGGCTTTAAACTAACTAATTTGGGGGAGGGAGACAGTGCTCCTGAAGGTAGGAGTCTATCAATTGATGAAGATGATCATCCAAATGTCATCGACCAAATGGAGCAAACAGCACGCGGACCTAGTGGTGGGAGGAAAAAATCCTTAAATAAGAGACACGGGGGAATGATTAATGGACTTCAATGTCTGTACACTAATGCGCAAAGCATGGGAAATAAACAAGATGAGCTTGAGCTCTTGGTACAGCAAACTAAATATGACATAATAGGCATCACTGAAACCTGGTGGGATAAGTCCCACGATTGGAATGTAATAATGGGGGGATACAATCTATTTCAGAGAAACAGACCAGACAAGAAAGGAGGAGTGGCGTTATATGTCAGGGATGTGTATACCTGTGAAGAGATCCAAGATTTAGAACCTCAAAGCCAAAGTGAGAGCATTTGGGTCAAAATTAAGGGAGAGAAGAATAACAGAGATCTCATTGTGGGAGTTTACTATAGATCCCCAAGCCAAACAGAGGACATAGATGATGCCTTCCTGGAACAGATGGCTAAGCATGCAAAAGGAAGGGAGATAGTAGTAATGGGGGACTTCAATTACCCGAATATTTGTTGGATGTCAAACTCAGCCAAGAGCTTAAGGTCAAACAGATTCCTCACTGGCCTTGCAGACAACTTCATTGTCCAGAAAGTGGGAGAAGCAACAAGAGGAACAGCCATTTTAGATCTCGTCCTAACCAATGTTGATGACCTGGTTAGTGGGGTAGAAGTGGAAGGATCATTAGGCACGAGTGATCATGCTCTTCTGAAGTTTACTATACAGCGGAAAGGAGCAGCCAAGCATACTAGGACTCAATTTCTTGACTTTAAGAAAGCCGACTTCATAAAACTTAGGGAAGTGCTGGGTGAAATCCCATGGACAGTAATACTAAAAGGAAAGGGAGTTCATGATGGCTGGGAGTTTGTTAAGAGGGAGATAGTAAAAGCACAACGTCAGGCAATACCAATGAGATGGAAAGAAGCCAGTGTGGCTATCTAAAGAACTTTTAACTGAGTTCAGATTAAAAAAGGATGTGTACAAAAAATGGAAAAGGGGGGAAACCACCAAAGAGGAATTCAAACAAATAGCCAGCACGTGTAGACACAAAGTCAGAAAAGCTAAAGCACAGAATGAACTCAGGCTTGCTAGAGAGGTTAAAAGCAACAAAAAAGGCTTTTATGGGTATGTTCGTAGCAAAAGGAAGAACAAAGAAACAGTGGGGTCACTCAGAGGAGAAGATGGTGAAATGCAAACAGGGGACACAGAAAGGGCTGAACTCCTCAATGCCTTCTTTGCCTCAGTCTTCTCCGATAAAGAAAACAATGCCCAACCTGAAGAATTTGGAGCAAATGATTCAGCAGAGGAAACACAGCCCAGAATAACTAAGGAGATAGTACAAGAATATTTGGCTAGTTTAGATGTATTCAAGTCTCCAGGACCAGATGAACTGCATCCAAGAGTATTAAAAGAACTGGCAGATGTGATCTCAGAACCACTGGCAGTCATCTTTGAGAATTCCTGGAGAACAGGCGAAGTCCCGGCAGACTGGAGGAGGGCAGATGTTGTCCCTATTTTCAAAAAGGGGAAAAGAGAGGACCCAAATAATTACCGCCCAGTCAGTCTGACATCAATAGCAGGGAAGATTCTGGAGCAGATCTACCTTGATTTCTAGCCTACCTT